GGAATCCTGCGAACTCCTTTACATACACGTACTTACCTTATCCTCACAACTTGATGAGGTGGGTACTGTCATGATCCCCGTGTTACAGATGAAAACCTGGAGAATTTGAGAGGTTGAGTGAATTGCCTCAGGCAACCCAGGGGGTAAAGGGCACTCTAGAGGTGACACTCACTCCTCTCAGCTGCCCTGACCACTTCCCTGTCCTGAGAGGCAGGGGTCAGGCTAATTCTGCCTGTGACAAAGCATAAAGGGAAAGACATTTTAAACAATATTTATGGGAAGATGACACTTTTGTGTATTTCTCCGTGCAAGAAATGCCATTTGGAAAGCAGTGTGCATGTCAGTATTTTTTTTCTTTCTGAGAAAAAGCCTATAGAGTCTGGTGAGGGGAGGGTTTGCAGCTGGCAGGGGCTTTGGCATATGTTGTAACTAAAAAGAGAGGGAATGTGTTGGTGGGACAAGCTACCGGAGCGCCGTCTCGGTGTGCTGCGGTCCTAGCGAGTGTTTTAATTGGGTAGGGTTTTTGGAGGACTATTTTGACATCTGCTCGTGTCTTTGCTGATTTTCTTCACTTAGAGTAGGAAACACAAGCTGTGGATAAAATGACTTTAAAATAATTGGAAGTGAAGCTATCTTTTTCAAAGTCGAGTTTGAGAGGGACACTTTTTAAGAAGTGGAAAGTAAATTCCACTTCTAGGAATCCATCCTAAAGCACACGCTTTGTGCCTATGATTTCACGACAGCATTACATATAATAATGTCTTAACAACTGGATACGGTATCCAACAAAGGGGACTTGGATAGGTTTGTTTCCATGAACTGAACATTTTGTAACAATTAGTAATGATCTTTACAAAGGTTCTAATGAAGTGGAGCCTTGCTTAAATGGTAATAAATGAGAGAATCTGAAAGAAATGGTAAGAATTGTTTCAACTGTGTTTTTAAAAAGTGGGGATTGGAGCAGTGAACTGTGGAGGGAAACGCCAAAATGTTATCTCCAAATGGAGGGATGAGGGTAACCATAATTTTCTCCTTTGAACTTTTATGTCTTTCCCACTTTTTTTTTTTTTACAGTAGGCATATTTAATTTTTATGATACAAAAGGCAAGAGAAGCAGGTCCCAGGCCTGTTGCCTAGGTGCTTGTTCTGAAGTCCAAGCCTTGGTCTGGGGACGTCTTTACAAAGAGCCAGGCTTTTAAGTCACTGGGTTCAAACGTCAGCTCTGCCACTCACTAGCTGTGTGACTTGGGCAGTTGGTTTGACCTCTGTGGGCCCCATTTCCTTCTCATTACATGGAGGTGACGGCACCTCCCTCCTGACGTGGACGGCACCTCCCTCCTGACGTGGACAGGGTTAAATGACTTGGCACCCAGCAATGATCCAGCTTCCTTCTCCACCAGCACCTCCCTCTCCCACCCCAGTTGGAGATTTTTGTGTGTTTTTTTTCTTTTTCATTCCCCTTGTTTCTACGAGCCTTTCACGTGTAAGGCACCACCCTGCTGAGTTGGCCTCCAGTTGTTTCCCTGAGAACCCTGAACCTCAGGAAAGCCCTTGAATCCCCACCAGGAGCCCCTTGGGAAGAGGCCGTGCCACCAAGAGGGCTGCATTGTCCTGCGAGAGGAAACCGTGCTGACCCAGCTCCTGCCTGGAGCCTGGTGCTTGGGCATCGTGGTTACTAAGGGGACCCTGGCCTGCTGAGCCAGAAGAAAGGGCCAGGTCTTTTCCTCTTCTTCAGCCTCCACCATTGTTGAAAAAGTAAACACTCCACATGGCTTAACCGGCAAGTCCTCCAGTCAGGAGTGGGACGCAGTGAAAAGCCTGTTCCAGCCCAGCTGTGGAGAGTCCACAAAGGCCGCTCTGTGCCGCCAGGGCCCGCGGGACACAGAAACAGTGCCAGTGCTGGTCCACAACTGGCATCCCACCCGCTGCCCTTCCAGCCCCGTGCCCGCGGCCTCTCCAGTGGCCGGGCCCTGGCCCCTTGTGTTTGGAGCTCTTTGGGAGATCAGAAGAGGCGATGATGATAGATGATAGATGATAGATAGATAGATAGATGATAGATAGATAGATAGATAGATAGATAGATAGATAGATAGATAGATAGAGATAGATATGGATAGATAGAAAGATAGATGATGGATGGATAGATGGATGGATGGATGGATGGATGGATGGATGGATGGATAGATGATAGATAGATAGATGATAGATAGATAATAGATAGGTGGATATAGATAGATGGATGATAGATGATAGAGAGATAGATAGATGATAGAGAGATAGATGATAGAGAGATAGATGATAGATAGATGATAGATAGATGATTGATAGATAAATGATAGATAGATAGATAGATAGATAGATAGATAGATAGATAGACAGGTAGACAGACAGAAAGAAGATGGTTCTGGGTGCAGCGGCCCTCAGCTCAGCTCAGTCTTGGAGGCCTCCAGCTGTGCTGTGGCTCAGCCCTCTGGCTCCCTTTCTCATTCTGTTTCTGGTGCTCGTGTCTTTGAAGTGAGAGCCCAGCAATTACTAGGATGGGGCCAGAGGACTTTTGCCATAAGGCCATTGCCTCTATAGCTTTCAGACTAGTTGGGGCCAGTGTATTTATTACAAAAGTAATAATAGCAGCTACTGTTTAGAAGTCCCGCTGTGTGCCCAGCAGCCCCTGCGGGGAGTGGGGTAAGGAGGGCGGTCACGGTCACAGTTACCCTCCCAGTTTTACAGAGGAGGAAGCCACAGAGTAGCCACATAACCTTGGGGTAGCCCTTCGCCTCTCTGAGCCTCCGTTTCTCACCTCTGAGATGCGGGTGGTGATACCTCACCTGAAGCTGCTGTTGCTGAAAATGGAAGGATCTTTGTGAAAATGCCGAGCTCTGAAGAGCGTGTTGGTGAAAGGTGATTGTTGAGGCTGATCCTGTAACTTCCCACTAGCACACTGCTAGGTGTTTGACCTGTTGGACTGCAGAGGGAGGCAGCTGAGGAGCCCTGGGCAGTTCATCAGGAGTCTCAGGAGTCTCATCTGTAAGATGTGGACTGTGCTTTGTGAAACACTGGTGACATGCCTACTGTTGCCAACGCTGTCTGCTGATAGCGGTCACCCTGTAGTAAGGTGGTCAGTTAGTATGAGTGTTGGGGTTTGGAGGGAGAATGAACTTCTAAGTAGGCAATCTTGCGCCTCCTCTGTGGGTCTTGGCCCATAGTAAGCACTCGGTAAAGTTTATGAATGGATTGGTAGGTTTGTGGCCTAGGCCTCCTGGGCCTGGAGAAGTCAGCCGCAGAAGTTTGAGGCTCCTGGTCTTGTTAGGTGGGAGGGTTCCAGGATTCTGCCCTCTGGAAGCATTATTCAACCCCAGGAGGCTTCTGATCAGCATGGCTCCACCCTCCTGCTGGGAGGAATCTGGAAATGTTTACTTAGGCACCAAGTTCTGTCCTAGAGGCTGGGGTTTGAGACAACAAACGTGTGGGCCCATGTTAATGAGCACTTAGCCTAACATTTGGCCGGGTGCTGGTTATTTTGCAGTGGGGACCCAAACAGGTGAGCCCCTGGAGGAGCCCACACCCCAGCGGGCACAGGGTGCGGAGCTCAGTCTCTCTGAGGGTGTCTGAGGAGGAGGCTCATGGGCCGGGGAGCAGCCAGAGCTGTTACTACCTCTGCCCCTGGCCTCACCTCTCTGCACGTGTTTTCCTCATGTTGCATAAAATGAGAGGAATAGCATGCACTTTGCAAGGGTTGTTAGGAATTAAATGAGATAAGGTAAGTGATGCCTAAGACAAGCACTGGTGGGCTTCCAGTACATTGCAGTTGCTGGGCATCCAGGGCATTTGCACACTTGGGCTTAAGCAGCATCGGGATGTCCAGCTCCATCACCAGCCCACACAGTGCCCTCAGGTGAATTAGCAAAAGGTGTTCCCTCCTTTCTACCACCATCAATTACGACTGATGTCATGTGGCAGACACATGGGTTGGCAGATTTCAGCCTCAACCTGGCTGGCCTGGCATCCTTGGGCAGCGCTCACTTACATAGTCAGTGAGCTCAGTGTGGCCAGTAAAGAAAGTGAGTCCTTACTGCAGGGCGACCAGATGAAATAAAGGCAATAGTTTTGAAGTTCTACACTGAAGAAATGAGCTTAGATGTGAGATGGTGTAAGAGGATCGCATGAGATCGGGAGATGTGAGTAGGCAGGAGGAATATTGGGGTGGAGTCTAGCAGCGGGTAAATAGTGTGCTGAAAGGTTGAAACCTGAGGCTACGCACAATCTTGTGTTTCTACAGAGTACAGAGAGTGGCTCCAGGTGGCGGGCTCCTCTTTTCCCCATGTCGGACCTTCATCCCTTCCCCCCTCACCAGACAGGAACACCTCGTAGACATCCATCTCCCGTTCCCTGTACCAGTGGAATAACAGCTTAGGGCCACCGTCTCTGAGCCATGATCCACTAGCCAGGCTTCCAGGGAAAATTGAACCAAACTGAGAGTGACCTTCCTACTTAATGTGTAAGGGAAATGTTGACATGTTAACTGACACTAAACCATGCACCAAGTTCCATACTCCAGAATGACAGGAGCCAGAAGAGAGATGGGCCAGTAGCCAGCCTTCGTACGAGAGTGGCTGGGCTGGTTGTGGGTGTCACGGGCACAGCTGTGTATCAGAGCACCTGGGGCCAGAGATTAGACCTCCACTTCCATCTTAAAAAATGGAAAATATAGGGGGAAATAACATCGGGGTATAAAGATCTCTCTTCCTGGCTCTGTGACCCAGGGCATGTTAACTTAGTCTTTGTGAAACCCTTTCCATGCCTGGGGCTCGGGGGTGACCACATAGGCTCACAGTTAAGTGTCCTCATGAACATGGGCCACCTAGCATTGGGCCTGCCCCAGTGTAAGCCTTTGCCAAATGTCACTTTGGTCCCTATTTCCCATCCCCAGAGAAGGCCAGGAGAAAATCCGTGTCCTCATGGCTCTTCAATGATTGTCTGTTTTGGAATGTTTTTATTTGCAGAAAGTCCGAAACATGGCCCTGGATGACGTTGTGATCCTTAATGTGGACACCAACACTCTGGAAACCCCCTTCGATGACCTGCAGAGCCTCCCGACTGACGTGGTGTGTAACGAGCCTCTGGGTGCTGACTCCTCTGAGTGGCAGTGACTGTGTGACATCCCCTGGGGGGAAGGGGAGCGGGGGACAGCTGCGGCTTTCCCGTGGCCGAGGATGGCACTTTGTCTCAGTGAAGGAAGTGGGCAGAGGTTCATTTTTGTAGTCTGGTTTTGCTCTCATCATTTCCATCTAAAAGGCCCGGAAGCGATCCCAGGGCCTGAGCAGCTCCCCTTTTGGTGGGCACCTGGGGTCGCCATCCTCTCCAGCATGTGGCCGTTACCCTGAGGCTATGCGAGGGCCTCCAGTGTGAGCAGTTGGGGAACCTCAACCCTCCATTTTTTCTTGGGACATCATCAAACACAGCTGCTTCCCACATAGCAGGTATCTGCTGACAGTGCCCTGAACATGGCTCCAAGTCCCCTAAGTCTTTGTTTGTGACCTCAGTCCAGACAGAACGTGGGCTGTAGTCAGCAAAAAGTACCTGCTAACACTTTGCCAGGTAGCATCTGACCTGCCCCGTGCCGCACGTTGCTACTCAGACCTGCCTTGTGGGCGGCGCTTTGAAGTAGACCCAGTGTCCCCCACTGTCCTGATGCAGGAGGAGGACAGGTCACTGGGAAGCACGGCTTGGATGTTTCTGGGCCTGCCTCCCTGGCTCTGCCTGCAGGAGGATCTGTGGAGCCATTCAAACTTCCAGACTGAGAGGCACGCAGTGCTGACGGGGCTGGGTGTGTTGCTGGGTTTGTGAACTGGTCCTCGGAACTCCAGCCCTTCCTCATGCACCAGTTACCTTTTTAAAGCATGAAGTTAACTGTATTTCCCTAATTTAGTTATATTTAGTTGTATATATTTGTAGTTATAGGTAACTAAATTTATCTATACTTAAAACCATTTCATCAATGAACATAATCTTTTAAAAATTTCTAAAGACAAAAAAATCATTCCATGACTTCCCGGTACCTATGGGTGGGAGGCTTTTGCTGGCTTTGGAGTGAGAGAGACCTGTATTTAGGTGCCGGTTTCCTTACTTACTAGCCATGTGATCTTGGGCAAAATTGCTTATACTCTCTGAGCCTTAGTTTCCCTGTAAGGTTGGTGTGAGAATTCAGTGTAACGCATATAATATATGTAAAATGTGTCCAGGAGCTCTGTAGTTAGTATCAGTGAATTATGGATGCGAATGATGACCGGGCTGGCGGTCAAGGCCCCCTCAGGACGTGACCCAGGTGTTTTTCCCATCGCACTGGCTCTCTCCTCACTGCTTCACGCCCTACGTCACAGCTCTTTGGAGCTGTTCGCATCTCCCCCAAGCTTGGTGTTGTTTCATCACTTTATACTATGCGTACAGTTCCTTTTGTCCCAAATATCCTGCCCCGTCTGTCAACCTCTCGCTTGTTCCCCACAACGCGACCCTAAGTGTTAGGCTGAGAAACATCCCCTGACCCCTCCAAGTGGGCCTGAGCGCATCTTTCTCTCTGTCCCACAGCTACTCATTGTGCTTGTGTAGTTGTGCTTATTCCCGTGCAGGGTAACGGAGCACACGCCTGGCTTTCCCTTTTAATTGTGGGTTCTTCCAGGGCAGGAATCGAGTTTTCTTCCTCTGTTTCCCGGGGATCTAGCAGCCACTGAATAGATAGATGGAAGGATGGAGGGGACATATGGATTGGGTTATTTTGGTAGATGAAATCTTGCAAAACATGGCATTCGTGCTGGAAATTTTATTAAAAGAGGCCTTTGTTCTGCTTCTCACCATGATGGAGTAATTGGAACTAGATTTCTGCCCCTGCCATTAACAACTAAAACTCAGGGTAAATATGAAAACGACTGTTTTCACATACTGGACAGCAAGTAGTACAGAAGTATGATCCCTGAGAGAAAGAAGGAAGCGAGGTGAGGCCTCTGACCCCCCTGGCTTTCTGCCTGGAGGCATTTTCTGGACCCTGGGCCTGATGGGGGGTCCCCAGCCAAGCACAACTGTCTTGCTGAGTTGAGGGCTTGCAGATCTGAGTTTGAGGAAGAGGTGGGTTCAATTTGTGGATCAGATTATCAGACAGAAGGGAGCTGCTCAGAAGAAGAGCTCCAGAACTCTGAATTGGGCCCTCTTGAGTAATCTGCTGCAGATGGATCTGCCCACCCATAAGGGGCGCTCACACAGGCTAGGAATCATTCAAACAGACCAGCCAGAGGAGGAGAGGAAGAGCTTGGTGATCACTCAGGACAGTCATCAGAGACCAGGAGGCCACGCCTTGGTTCTATCTAAATTAGCTCTACAGCAAAGATGGTTTTAGCCCTGCTCTAACAAAGCTTAAAATCAAGCCTGAGGACCATAAGAGAGGGCTGCAGTGGTGCTGGTAATGTGCTGATTTTTTCTCTTAGTGCCAGTTACGTGGACAAGAATTCCTCAAGCTGAACACCAATGATACTTGTACTTTGTATGTTAAACTTAAATAAAAAGTTTTAAACAAAATTATTTCTTTAAAAAAATTTAAAGCTTTAAAAGGATCAACCTGATATGCAAGAAATTCAACCTCCTGTCAAAATAAACTTCAACCCTCTTTAAAAGAAGAAAACAAAATCTAACACTCAACATCATCACATCCACAGTAACTAACATCCTGTCAAAAAAGTACTAGCCGTTGAGAATCAGGAAAATGTAACCCATAACCAAGAGGAAAACTCGTCAATAGAAATGAACTCAAATGACAGACATGATGGAATCAGCAGACAAGACCTTAAGATAGATATTATAAAGATTGTAAATAAGCTCATGCGTTTAAAGGAAGGCCTGGACTTAATGAGGAGAGAAACAGAAGATACAGAAAGAATGGGAACATCTGGGGTGAAAAATATAATACCTGGACTGAGAATTTCACCGATAGGATTAAAAGGATATTAGACACCACATCTTAAAAGATCAATGAACTTGAAGACATACCAATAAAAACTATCCAGTATGAAGCAGGGAAAGGTTAACAGGCCCTTCAGGACCCATAGCACAGTATCAAGAAGACTAACGTACATGTAATTTGAGTCCTAGAAGGAGAGGAAGGTGGGGAAAAACAAAAAATATTTTAAAAGATTGTAGCCAATTTTTTTCACTTGTGATGAGAACGGTTAATGTGGAGTTTCGAGAAGCGCGCTGTGCCTCAAGCTTAATGGACCCAAACAAAACCACACTAAGGACAGGTCCTGAAATGACTCAGTACCAGTGATAAAAACAAAAGCTTAAAATTAGCTAAAGAAGACACATTTAAATGAAAGAAGTCACGGCAGGGAATTCTTGTAGGAAACTACACAACCAGAAGATAATGACTTTTAAAATGACTTTTTAAAGCAATAAAAGGAAAATTTTGTCGAACTAGAATGGTATATCCAGTGAAAACTACCCTTCTCAAATGAAGGCACAATTAAGACTTTTTTGGTAAAACAGAATGTGAGAGAAATCGTTGTCGGACTGCACTATGGGAAACGTTGAAGGAAGCCTCCCGGGGGGAAGAAATCGGTGCCCTGGGGAGACTAGGCCAGCGGGCGGGGAGCGTGGAAATGGGGCGCGAGTGGGCGAGTGTGAGACTCCTCCTCGTTTCCAAGATCTGGGAAGGGCAAGTGGGCGTGTAAAGGAAGCCGCCTGTGGTTACGGTGTGCAAGAGCACTGCTAGAAGCTAGAAGCACGCGCCTGACTGCGGGAGCATGGGGGCCGGCGGCCTGGGGGCCGGGGCTTTGCTGTTTTAAGGCCCTTAAATTGCGTGCGAGCTGGTCCGCTGCTGTTTGAGAGCAGCCTCGTAAGTTAAGGAGGCACATTGTAAGCTGTAGAGGAGCCACTGAGGACAACTAAGGTGGAGATATCGAGCTAATAAGCCAGGATGGAAGATCTAAAATGTTTGGGGGAAAGGAAGAAGGAGCCAAGTACAGGTGGGACAGAAAAGTTAGCAAGGTGATAGCTCTACCCAACTGTATTATTACTTCCAACGTGCAGCGTCTAAGTTCTCCAGTTAAAGGAGATTAGTAAATTATATTTAAAAATAAGACCCGGTTATATGCTGTTTACATGAATTCCGCCTTAAGTATAAAGAGTCAAACGGAAAGTAAAAGCATGGAAAAGATACCATGTAAACACCATCAGCAGCTGCTGGAGAGAGGGTAAGAGGCAAATCTCCCCTGTAGGAGGATCCCAGGTAGCATCTGCAGACCCTCGCCTTTCCAGGGCAGGAGCTAATACTCCCCCCGACATACACCCGTGAGTGTGGGCCAGACTCAGCGACTCACTTCAGAAAAACAGGGAATGGAAACAGAAGGGATACCTTCAGTGGAGAAATGGCAGGCACGCCCTCAATCCTGGGATCAGGGTCAACATCACCAGTGATGTCATGTGAATGTCACGGAACCCTGGTATGATGTAATGAGAAGGGTCTGTCACCCCTCTGGGGTTCTTTCCAAAACCCCAGCCAGATCATGGCAGACACTTCAGATGAACCCAGATTTAGGGGCTTCCTATAAAATACCTGACTAGTACATCTCAAAACTGGCAGGGTCATAAAAGTCATGGGAAATACTGAAGAACTGTCACAGACCAGTGGAGACTAAGAAGCCATGACAACTAAATGCTCTGTGGAATTCTGGATGGGATCGTGAAATGGGAGAACACTAATGGAAAAACTCGTGAAATCACAATAAATTTTGGAGTTCAGTTAATGATAAAGTACCAGTGTTAGTTTCTTAGTTTTGACAAATGTACTATAAAAGATATAAATTAGGGGAAACTGAAACTGGGTGAGGGGTATACAGATACTCTGATATCTTTGCAACTCTTCTGTAAACCTAAATATATTCCAAAATAAAAAGTATATTTTTATGGGGGAAGTAGAAAAGGTAAAGGGGTTAGGTGATGGAAGGAGTCTTGACTTAGCCTGGTGAGCACACACTGCAATACACAGATGATGTTTTACAGAATTGTACACTTGAAACCTATGTAATTTTATTAACCAATGTCATCCCAATAAATTCAATTT